AAAATTAAATGCTTGCGTATTTCAAAATATTCACTAAATGAGTGAAGAGTAAAATGAGAACTCACAGATTGGGAAAAGATATTTAGCAATGGTATAATGGACAATGGACTAATTACTAAAATCTACAGAATTCTGCAACACCACAATAAGAAAAAAACCAAATAACCCACTTAACAGGTGAACAAAGGACTGGAACAGACAGTTCACAAATAATGACACCTGAATAGCTAAGAGACATATTAGGACATGCTCTCATTCACTAGCCATCCAAAAAATGCAAATCAAAACAAAGATGAGATACCATCTGACACCCACAACCATAGTGCAAAAATACCCCCAGAATAACACATACTGGAGGGGGTGTGGAAAGATTGGAACCCTGATACAATATCACTGTGGAAAGCAATAAGGCAATTCCTCAAACAACTGGCAATAGAAATAGCATATGACCCATTGCTGGCCGTATACCCCAAAGAAATAAGAGAGAGATCAGGAACAGATGGATAATCTGCCACGTTCATTCCAGCAGAATTCACAATAGCAAGAAGTAGGAAACAGTCCACATTGTGATCAGTAGAAGAAAAGTTTAAAAAACTTTTGTATATACACACAATGGAATACTATGCATCCCTAAAAAAACAACCTCCCCCCCCACCAAATAAAAACAAACCAAAACAGTGATGAAACCATGAAACACCCCATGGCATGGGGGGATCTGGAAATCATTATGCTGAGTGAAGTTAGTCAATCACAAAAGGACAAATATTGTAGGAACCCATTATTGTAAGGATAAACACCAGGATGAAGGCAAACTCCTGCTTTCAGGCCATGCAAATTGCTAAGCAAGGCTGCCAAGCAACTCAGTAGAGCGCTGGATTCGTGCCCATGAACCATACGCCATAATCTCTATATGTGTATCTTGAAAACCACTTTCACAGAGGAGACTTCATTTCAATCAGGATCAGATTTTTCAAGATTGGGGGAAGACCATTTAGTGTCTGCCATGCAAAAATATGATGAGGTACCTCCAAACCAGCAGACATTTCTATGATGGTGATAAGCAATAATGACAGGGAAAATCAAGTCAAGAGGGAGAAAGGGTAGCATAGATGTCTTGGAGAAGACAAGTGCATTTTTGTTAGTAGAAAAAGGGGGAGGACCAACCTCCCAGCAGCGGGAAAAAAAAATGACTAACAATACTTATACGGACCCCAAGGGGAAGGTATGCCTGCTACTGTGCTCCTAATAGAGCATATTGGTCCAAGTCTCTGTACAGTCCCTGGGTACCTAGGCCACGTGCCATAGAATACTGGGGCATTGAACCCTGGATCTTTAAGGCCCACAACATAATCCAATGGCCATACCAAAGAGGGGTGATGTGGAAACCCCACTAGCGAAATGGGCTCTACCTGAAACACCTGCAGCCTGAAGACTTAAGGCTGAAACGACATGTGTGAAGAAGCAGAAGACAGCTGTATCAAGAGTACTGAACTGTCGGTAGGTAGATTAACATTTATTTACTACTTCAATGCCATGCTTGCTTTATTAAGATAGGTGTTATTCTTGCAGATATGGCTAGGACACTTTCAGTAAGTATTACTGTAAGTTTTACCTGACCACCAACTCCTATTGTTTGTGTAAGTTAATAATCCAGGTATTGTGATTTGTACTTAGTCTATAGTTGTTTAATCTGCTTTTCTCAATTGTGTTTTAAATACAATACTAGACAATACAATACTAAATCAACACTATAAACAGAAGGACTTTATATTCCAGGGAGATGATTGATAAGGTTCTCTAACATAAAATAACAATGA